CTCGTTCCACTCGAGGATGGCGGGGTCGGCCTGGCCCTTGACGTCGAGGCGGGCAACGGGCATGGCGTTGCAATGGATCTCGCCCTTGGTGCGAATGGCCCTCCATGGCTTGTCAGGGTAGCGGTGCTGGAGCAGTTGCAGGTGCTTCTTGCACTGGATCTCGGTGCGGATCTGCTTGGGGGACTTGTCGGGATTGAGGTAGATATCCACTCGGGTTCCTGTCGTGTCGGTGGACACAAAGCGCTTCCACCTGCCAGCAGGGTCTCGAAGGGCGCGTGAAAGAGCGAGAGCTCGCGGGATTGCGGCTGCACGATCTCCTTTGACTTGAAGAAGGAAGCGTCTGGACGGCTCGTCACCCAGCAACTCCACGGCGTTGCGGTCAACGCTGGCGGAGACGATCCACTCCTGCAGGTCGTTGAGCAGTATGTCGGGCGCGATGAGGCGCTGGCAGCCGATGGAGAAGATGGTTGGGTCGGGGGCGCGGTCCCAGTCAGCGAGCTTGGTGAGGTCCGTGATGGGCGCCTGAGCTTCAGCGAGCGCGAGCGTGTCACGCATCTGATCGATCTGCTGCCACATCTTCTTCTGCTCGTCGGCTTGGCGGTCTTGTTCACGGCGAGTGCGGGCGACTGCATCATGTAGGGTATCCACTCGGCGTCCGGTAGCAATGACTTGTTGTGCGAGAATGTGACGAAAGCTTTCACGTGATTCATTGAGTAGAGCGTTGGCCTGGGCTTGGAAGGTGGCGGCGGCGTGTTCCACTTGCGTCTGCATGACTTGTTGAAGAGCAGCTTCGACATCAGGAGGCAGACCTGGGATGCTTGGGAACGATCCAGGCGCGGCTGTACCACCAGCGGCTTCGATGGAGGCTGGTATGTCTCCGCCATGAAGGTCGGCGGCGGCTCCGACGGCGGACGTTCGTCCAGCGGTTTGTTGGCCACGCCAAGGGTCATGAGCTCCTGCCAGTGGATCTGCTCGTAGGTGTCCTCCTGCGGCTGGTGCTGCCTCGGCTGCAAGTAGTTGGGAAGGCGGAGCATTCCCTTGTCCATCGCGTGCTTGCTCGGGGGCAGCCGCTGCGTGGCGAGCGACATCACCGTGGTGTAGAAGGTCGTCGGCATCCATCGCAAACGTTGGCGGAGTAGACGGGCGCGCAGACGAGCGACCAGGACGTGAAGGCGGCGCCGATGCTCTCCCTGAAGCACGTACGAGTTGCGAGGCGACGCCAGCTTCTCCCATGGCGTCGAGTGTGGCCCTGGCGGCGGAGGCACGGGAACCTTTATCATCTCGATCTTTGTCTTGGCGTCCACGGCGGCGTTCTTTCCTTCTGCGCGACGGTGCGCTGCGAGACGTAGATCTCTCTTCACTGCTTGGCATTGCAGGCTGCCATCCATATCAGCTCGTCCGAGCCCTTCACACCGCCCGTCAAGCCCAGCTCCGAACACTACATATCGTCCGTCGAGCCCAGCTCCGAGCACTACATATCCGCCGTCGAGCCAAGCTCCGTGCTCTACGCATCCGCCGTCGAGCCTAGCTCCGAGCATCTCATTCCCATCGAGATCGCTGCCCGCACCGAGACCAGCCTGCAGCTTCTCCGCCAACCACGTATTGGCACCGCAGCCGCCCTGGACATTGGACAGCAGTACAGCAGCCACTTACTGGACTTGCCCTACCTACCACAACAATGTCGTCAAGCAGTGAAGAAAGAGGAGGAGGAGGAGGAGGAGGAGGAGGAGGAGGAGGAGGAGGAGGAAGGAGAGGAGGGAGAGGAGGAGATGAAGAGGAGGATGCGAGACGGGTGGGGAGTGGTAGGAAGGAGGGGGGAAGAAGAGTGGGAGTGGGGAGGTGGAAGTACGAGGATGATGAGCAATAGGGACGGCAGTGTACCCTCCACCACCTCAGAATGCCATTCAGATAAATGGTGTCCGAGCCCCTCCCCCCGAAACCAAGTCCCCCTCCCCCCCATTCACCTCATCATCTTCCTCATCCTCATATTTTCCTCATCAGCCGTGCATCCTCCTCCTCATCCTCCACACGAACATCACCATCGCCATCACCATCGCCATCACCACCACCATCACTATCACCAGCATAATCGCCACCATCATCGTCAGCAGCATCCTAATCATCATCATCATCATCATCATCATCATCATCATCATCATCATCATCATCACCATCATCATCCTCATCATCATCAACACCACAATCAGCACCATCGTCATCCGTGCCATCATTACCGTCATCATCCTCATCACCATCATTACCATGATCAGCATCATCACCATCAGCATCATCGGCAACATCACCATCAACACCATCGTCAAAATCAATAGCAACACCATCAACACCAGCAGCATATGCATCACCAGCATCAGCATCAGCATCAGCGTCCGCATCAGCGCCAGCAGCCTCATCATCATCATCATCATCATCATCATCATCATCATCATCATCATCATCATCATCATCATCATCATCATCATCATCTTCATCATCAACAGCATCATCATCATCAGCAGCAGCAGCATAATCATCAACAACAACAACAGCATCAGCATCAACATCCTAATCATCATCATCTTCCTGCTCCTGCTTCTCTTCTCCCCTCTCCTGATCCACCCTCCACCTCTCACATCATTCCCCCTCCTCCCTTCCCTCTTCCTGCTCGTCCTCTCCCCGTCCTCATCTTCCCTCTTCCTCCTCACCCTTCTCCCCGTCCTTCCGCCTTCATCTCCGCTTCCTCTTCCCGCGCTCCCCCCTCCCTCGCCCCGTCGCCTCCTCCTCTTCCCATTCCTCCTCCTCCTCCTCTTCCTCATCGCGATAGCGAGGGACAACCTCATCACGTAGAACTCGAGAGCCCGCCAGCAGCTGCTGCTGGGGGGCTCTCGCGTTCCTCCTGTTCCTGCTGCTGCTGCTGAGCAGCAGCAGCAGCAGCAGGAACAGGAGGAGCAGGAGGAGCACGATCAGCACGACCCAGGAGCATGCTGAGGGCGGGGCGATCTTGGAGGCCTGTTGGGCCGCCCTCCTGGGCGGTCGGAACCCGAAAAGGCAGTGACGCCCCAATTCCTTGGAAATCATCCCAGATCCATGAAATCGAAGCTCAGGAGACCCCGTTGGAGCTGTATTGGACCATCGTGGGGCCATCCTGCGGCCCCTTGGGACTGTTTTCGGGCCATCTTTGGGTTGGCAACCATTGATCCTTATTCTTGGGCCCTCTCGGAGCTCCCTCGGGTTCCTTTGGAGCGCTCCTGGGGAGCTCTTGGTGGGGGTCCTGAAGACCGCCCCCTGGAGTTCCAGCGTCCGTGACACCCACTTTGCCGGGACCTGCCCGGGGTACTTTTCATCTTGGGTCTCCCAGGCGAAGAAACGCGCGCGCGAATTAAAAGTACTCTAGGCCCCTTTAAAACATGAGTGCACCTCTGGCCCATTAGGTCGAAACAGTGCCATCACTGTTACTTTGTATAGTCTTATGCTTCGAACGCAGTTCGGAACATCACCCAATTGTCAAGCAAAAAAGTTCCGCCCACGCGAATTCATTTCGAGTCGTGCGCGCGTTGGTTGCTTCGGGGCGGGCAACGTCGCCGCATTGATCTTCTTCTTTCTGGTTGCGCGGGGAGGAGGCAGCGTTGCCCAGCCCGTGGGGCCCGCGCGGCTTCGTGGGGGCCTGGGGCGGGGGGGCCATTCTGGTGCAAAAACAAGTCGGCGCCTGCCTTGCGATCCCCAGTGTTGTGTGCTGACAGAAAAATCGACGCCTGCGGCGGGCTTGTAATCAAGACTGGCTCTATAGCGAAGAAGTCGGCGCCTGCGGCGGGCTTGTAGTCCTCGGCTTTCCAGCTCGCGGCGCGTGCGTGCCGAGACCACAGCAGCCTCCCACTCCTATCCGCACGTGCGGGGTCTATGGGTCTTACCATAGCCCGTGGGGGCTGTTTCGAGTTTTTGGCATGGGATGCTTCGGTTTGACTCGTCTGCGTCTGGTGACGTGCGGCTTCACATTGTAGGAAGCATCGCGATGTCGCTCCACAGTTGGAACCAGGCGTTGCCCAGCCTCTCGCTCTCAGAGCTGCCTCTGACCTGAAGTGAGGGCTCCTGGCCTTGCAAAAGCTCGGGGAAGGGGGGGCGGAAAGAGGGGGAGGAGCCCGGCGCCCCCCCTGGATAGATATTTGGGCGGCCTGCGAGGGGAATCGTCGGCAGCCCAAACGGGCTCGCCAAATGATCCCATCACCCTGGACTATCCTACAGTGGAAACGTATAGTAAGGACGCGTGGTAAGGACGCAAGACCCTTGGAGGCTGAAGTTGGGATTTTTTTGGGGCGGCGGCGACCAGTGAAAACGGCAAAGGACGGGCCACAGAGGCAAGGACGCCAGGGTATCCTAGATGAAGGCGCGCGTCCTTACCAGGCGCGTTGACTGTATCGCAGCCCTAACGATGTTTCACCATCGCCACTAGTCACGTCGCATTCCCCCACACCACCTTCTCTCGCCTCCACGGCTCCACCCGATATCTTGCCTCCCTTCTCGTGCGCTTCTGGGGGTCGGCGATAGAGCACAACAAGACTCTTGAGTAATGACATGTTCGGATATCGGAGGAGGGGACTTGGGACTTGGGACAGGGTGGTGTACTGCAGCATCGGCGGTGGTGTATGCTGGATTTGCTCTGGTACCTTATCCTTCTCCTGGTTGTGCTCATTATACTCCTTACTCCGCGCTCTCTCGCTCTCGCTCTCTTTCCCTATCCCTCTCTCTCACCCTCCCTCTCTCTCTCGCTCGCTCTCTCTATCCCTCTCCCTCTCCCTCTCTCTCCCGCCCTGTCTCTCTCTCTCTCGCGCTCTCTCTCTCTCTCTCTCCCCCTCTCCTCCCCCTCCCTCTCTCCCTCTGTGATTCCCTCTCTCTCTCTGTCCCTCTTTTTCTCCCTCTCTCTCCCTCCCTCCCTCTCTCCCCCCTCTCTCTCTCCCCATCTCCTCTCCCTCGATTACAGCACAGGCTGCGCCTGCGACGCGCCGAGGCCGGTCCTCCATCGCCCCCAGCAGGCCGCACAGCTGCCCCGCCTCCAGGGCCGCCTCGCCCTTCGGGGCCCCGCCGCCCCCAGCCAGGCGCGCCTGTCGCTGAAGGAAGTGGCCCGGGCCGCGGCCGCCGTGGCCGGGATCGTCGCCTCCTCCGCCCTCCCCCCCCTACTTCGACGCCTCCTCCCCCCGAGGTCAGCACGTCCTCCGGGTCTGCGCGCGCGCCCGGCTGCTCCTGGAGCGGCCCCAGCGGCCGCGCTACGACGAGGAGGGCCTGGGGGACGTCGACATCGAGGCCTCGTCGAAGCTCCCGTGGAGCTCTTGGCGCGCGGGCCTTGGTAAGGACGACCTTAGCCTCCTGCACGTCTGGCGCGGGGGCGCCTCTTGCACCCCGACGCGGCGGGCCAACGGCCAGGCCCCCTGCCCGTTCTGCGGGCACGCCACCGCCTCGGCCCGGCACTTCTGGGCCGAGTGCCCCCGCTTCGGGCCCGATCGCGCCGCCCTCGGTCGGACGTACGGCGTCGCTGAGGCCTGGTGGGCTGGCCAGCCCAGGGTCACAGCCAAGACTGGCTGGATCACCTTCGCCGCCGGCCCCACCACTGAGGCCCGGTCGCGCCTGCAGGTGATGTCGTGCGAGCTCGGGATCCGCATCCTGGGCGCGCTGCCCCGGGACGCCGTCCCGGCCCCGGCTCGCAGAAGGCTTGCGGATCGGCGGCCCGCCGCGGCCGGCCCTGACGGCGCTCCGGCCTCGAAGCGGCGGCCTGCGCCTCCCTCTCCCCCTCCTGACACGGCTCAGGCGGGCGACCAGACTGGGACCGACGACGGCCTGAGCAGCGACGCCGACGTCGCTGACGACCCGCCCCCGCCCCCGCCCCCGGTCGGTGGTGAGGTGGTGGTCGGTGCGCCCTGCACGAGACGCACGCGGGAGTTGTCTCCCGTGCCCCTGTCGCCCGGCCGCCGCTCGCGGCGGAGGGTGGAATCCCTGCCGGAGAGGCCCCGGCGACGGCCTCGCCCTACCTCCTCGGGCCCTCTCTCTCCTCGCCGGACCCGGTGTCGGATAAGTTGAGTTGGTTTGATTTTTTAGTTGTTTTGGGGGTCTCCCATGTTTTCTGACTCCAGCTAGGCTTTGCGTGGCCAGATTCTTCCACACCTTTAACTACTTTCTCGGCCTCCGGCCGAGGGCGTCAAGGCATCATGAAGCCTGTCAGCCACATCATCCCCTTCTTTTTTACCAACACCAAGTGGGGACGTCCTGGGCAGCTGGGACGTGCGGCTCCTCGGCGCAAGCTGAGCGGCCGCGGGCAGGCACGCCAGTGCCCCACCCCCCTACGCCCCTCCGGAGGGCCGGGGCCGTGCGTAGCGCGGCGTCTACAGAGCCGCCCAGCGGCATCCGGAGACGGCCCTTGCCTCCAGTGAGGGGCAGGGGCGTGCATGGACGGGGGCTTTGCCCTGACGCGGGCGGCCAGAGGAGGGCCTGCCGCTGTGACTCCGGGTTTGGGATCCCGGGCCCGCTGGGGGAGGGGCCGCGCGACGCGCCGGGCTCCTTTGCGCGCGGGGCTCCTTGACGCTTCGTGCCTTCCTCCCTGCGCCCCAATCTACACTGGTTGTGCTGCGATCTGCCGACGCCTGGTTGCTGGCTCCCCTTCCGGGGGGGGGAGCCTGGGCATAAGGCGCGCGGATCCCCGCCGGTGTGGTGCGGCTCGCGCAGGGGATGCGGCTTCGGAGGGGGTCCCGTGTTGCGGGGGGTTCGGTTCGTCGTCGTCGTCTTCTTCGGGGGGTTAGCCCATACTCGGCTAGTATAGCCTAATTCCCGCTGGCACCTAAGCGTGCCCCTTACATGACTTATCAGCTTGACAACTGATATCCCTGACTGCGGCTGGCGATTTGGCCACCGCCTTTCACACAGACGGGGGCCAGGACCAGTGCGGCGGCCAGTAGTCTCCTCCTCGGCTGCTGGTTGCCCTGCTTGGCTTTTTCAGTGTTGATTCCACCCCGGGGTGGCCTCGCGGCTGCTCCAGGGTGGTCTCTTCCACACCTTTTACTACTTTCTCGGCCTCCGGCCGAGGGCGTCAAGGCATCGTGAAGCCTGTCAGCCACATCATCCTCTTCTTCTTTTACCAACACCAAGTGGAGATTGGAGGCCTGGAGGAGGCCAAGGAAGTGTCGCTGAAGGAAATGGGGATTGGAGGCCTGGAAGTGGCCACCAGCACCAACACAGGGGGTTGGCTCCTCAGGGTGAAGATGATCCCAGATTTCGGTGTTGGTGGTACTATTTCGGCCACCTTGGAAGCCAGAATATGACCACCATCACCGAGCTCGGGGCTTTCTTCCCTCGGTGGAGGCACACCGCCGAAATTGGTGCTGGTGTCAACCTTCAGGCCTGCGAGGAGACCCACGGCTGAGAGCGAGCTCCGACTCCTCCAGCCTCCCCAGATCGACGACGCTATGATCTGTTCGGTCCCGGCGATTCTCCTCGCCTGCAAGATCCTGCACGCAAGTCCAGGTCAGTGCACCCCTAGCTCTACACGATCCTGCAAGATCTGGCGCTCTGGCTGACCCCCGTTTGCACTGACCCCCGTCTCAAGGCTTCCGCTCCAGTGCCCGTGATCGAGCCCCGGGGCCATCAAAAACGAATCTGGGCGAAAAACTGCCAGAAGGGGTCAGGACCTTTTTTGGGCCGCGGATAGGAAAAATAACATCAGCGAGTGTCAGGATCTTCCTGCTCCTCCTCCTCCTCCTCCTCCTCCTCCTCCTCCTTCTCCTCCTCCTCCTCCTCGTCCACCCCCTTCTCGTTCACCCCGCCCGCTGCTGCTGCTGCTGCTGCTGCTGCTGCTGCTGCTGCTCCCCCTCTCCTCCCCCTTCCTCCACGCAAGTCATGGCACTGCATAGCGGTGCATAAAACATCATTGCATGGCATGCAATGGCATGGCAAGGGACTATACAGCACGGTATTGCACAACGTAGTTCAACATCAAATATCACAACATTGCAGAACAAGGTATGTCATCGCAAAACGGCGCGTCACATAACATTGAATTGCATACCATTGCTGCATGAACGGTGCAGCCGGAACACCATGCTGGAGGACCGACAATTTGGAGATGAGGCCGGTGCGCTGGCAGGAGCCACTTTCAGAAGGGCCGAACCAGCGGAAATGAGGCCAGCGCTGCAGCGGGAGCTCGGAAAGAAGCCGCGGAAATGAGACCAGCGCTGCAGTGGGAGCACGATGTTGAAGGACTGGAAGCGCGGAAATGAGGCCTGCGCTTCAGCGGGAGCGCCAATTTGGAAGACCGACGACGACCGGATATGGATATTCCATTTGAAAAAAAAAACATCCAAATTCTGAATCCCTCTGAAAAAAACATTGCCTGGAGGAGAGGGCGGGACATCTTTTGGACAGAGTCAGGGGCGAGATGATAGTAGCGCTCAAAAAGTGTACCTGTTGAGGGCCAGGGGGGAGATGAGGACTGGGTGGGATGGGCAAGGGGGGTTAGGGGTTACGAGGAGGAACGCCAAGAGGGGAGCGGGAAGGGGACAGGGGAGCAGGAGGTAGGGGATGGGAGAAAGATGGAGAAGGGAAAAAAAATGATGGCGTCCCAAAACCTGTGATTACAGCCTCAAACGATGAAGAACATGCAAAGCCGGAAAACGCTTCGGAAAGCTCCTATTATGTGTACTGGTACCGAAAGCTCTGGGATCACATAAGTACGCCAAACCCGCGCAAACGCGGATAGTAGTGAGGGTCTGCTCTGGCACTGATGAGAGCAAAATGCCAACCCAACGAAGAAGCCACTGGCATCGATCTTCGAAATGCAACGTAATTCCACTCTGTGCAACAGTTGGGCCTGGCGCTGCCGTTGGGGCCCTGGCCTGGGGATTCCGCCTGGCATCATGGCACCCCTGACCAAGCCTCACTGGCCACAGAGCTGGTAAAAAAACAGGATGCACGCAAAGATACTTACACCCCGAACCAACCAACGCGTGCGCGACCTGAAAATGACGCGCGTGTGCCGAAGCCCTTGTTCTGGCAAACAGTTCCGCGTGATGTACGACACTGGCGAGCCTCGCCTGACATTGCGCGGGCTGCCCCTTGCGAGTGATCCGTTGCTTCCCACCCCCTCGGGACGCCTCATCTTCTTCCTCCTCCTCCTCATCATCCAATAAAAAGAAGGGATAGGACCATCGCATGGTAGGTTGGGTGAAAAGTAGGATGGTGCATCGTCCAGAAGATTGATCGATTCCTGTTTCCGATGCGATTGTGGGCCGCTGGTAAACCAAGCGGCATAAGCAAATAGGGCGCCAGCGCCTTGAACCAGACGCCTGCGGGATACTCGCTACGCTCGCTCTGTATATTCCAGCCCTTTCATCGGTTTCAGAGTCGATGGGGGGGCAGACAAGCGGCAGCGAGCACCAATATTCATTAACTAGAACCATCGCGCGCGCGCTTCGCGCGCGCTCAAGTTCTAGCTAGGCTTGATCGGCCAACTCATGTAATATCATTTTGGTCGTTTCCTGCGTCCAGGGACTCCCTTGGAGGCCCTGCGCAAGCCTCGGAGTCGTATAGAAGGGTGAGCGCGGACACGCAGAAATCATTAATTCCCTTTAGGTATTCATCGATTTGGGGTCCTCAAAGGCTTCCTGGTTTTTTTGGGGGAGGTGAGGGGGGTTGAACTGTGGTCTGTTCTGCAAGAGTAGACCGGGGGCCAAACTTGAAAAAAAGGAATTGTGGAATTACTACTTCCCCATGTCCTAAGTGGGGTTCTTGTTTTCTCTGGACGGCCGCGGGCCACACCCACCCACACCCAGTCACACACACAAACAATCACATACACACACACATCATGATCATCATCATCATCATCGGGCATTCCATGCGAGCCCGCTCGCGCGAAAGGGAATTCCAACGGCTATCGACATTAGCGAGCCCGCTCGCACGGAATGACCCTCAGGGGCATTCCATGCGAGCCCGCTCGCGCGGAAGGGACCTCCCCTGTGGCCCCTAGGGGGTCCCGCCTAAAAGCTGGAATTCCAACGGCTATCGGAATCAGCGAGCCCGCTCAAACGGAATGACCCTCAGGGGCATTCCATGCGAGCCCGCTCGCGCGGAAGGGACCTCCCCATGTAGCCCCTAGGGGGTCCCACCTAAAAGCTGGAATTCCAACGGCTATCGGCATCAGCGAGCCCGCTCGAACGGAATGACCTTCAGGGGCATTCCATGCGAGCCCGCTCGCGCGGAAGGGACCTCCCCTGTGGCCCCTAGGGGGTCCCACCTAAAAGTTGGAATTCCATTGGCTATCGGCATCAGCGAGCCAGCTCGCACGGAATGACCCTCAGGGGCATTCCATGCGAGCCCGCTCGCGCGGAAGGGACTTCCCCTGTGGCCCCTAGGGGGTCCCACCTAAAACATGGAATTCCAACGGCTATCGGCAGCAGCCAGCCCGCTCGCACGGAATGACCCTCAGGGGCATTCCATGCGAGCCCGCTCGCGCGGAAGGGACTTCCCCTGTGGCCCCTAGAGGGTCCCACCTAAAAGTTGGAATTCCATTGGCTATCGGCATCAGCGAGCCCGCTCGAACGGAATGACCTTCAGGGGCATTCCATGCGAGCCCGCTCGCGCGGAAGGGACCTCCCCTGTGGCCCCTAGGGGGTCCCACCTAAAAGTTGGAATTCCAACGGCTATCGGCATCAGCGAGCCCGCTCGCACGGAATGACCCTCAGGGGCATTCCATGCGAGCCCGCTCGCGCGGAAGGGACCTCCCCTGTGGCCCCTAAGGGGTCCCACCTAAGAGTTGGAATTCCAACGGCTATCGGCATCAGCGAGCCCGCTCGAACGGAATGACCTTCAGGGGCATTCCATGCGAGCCCGCTCGCGCGGAAGGGACCTCCCCTGTGGCCCTAGGGGGTCCCACCTAAAAGTTGGAATTCCAACGGCTATCGGGATCAGCGAGCCCGCTCGCACGGAATGACCCTCAGGGGCATTCCATGCGTGCAGGAGGAGGAGGAAGGGGGAGGGGGATTATAAACGCGGTGCCTTCAGGAGGAGATGGTTGAAATGGACGTTTGTCGAGGAGGACATGGAGGAGGACGAGGAGGAGACGGAAGAGGCGCCGGAGGAGGAGGAGGAGAGGAGGAGGAGGGGGGGAAGGAGGGGGGAGGAGGAGGAGAGGAGGAGGAGGAGGAGGAGGAGGAGGAGCAGGAGGATGGGGGAGGAGTGGGAGGAAGAGGAGAAGGAGGAGTAGGAGGAGGAGGAGGAGGAGGAGGAGGAGGAGGAGGAGGGGGAGGAGGGGGGGCAGGAGGAGCAGGACGAGTGGGGAGGAGAGAGGGGGAGGGAGGAGGAGAAGGAGGAGGAGGTGGAGGAGGAGCAGCAGCAGCGTCAGCAGGAGCAGCATCAATCTGATAGTGTACATATTCCATACAACATTAAGTCTTCATGTGGGGCCCATCCACTGGAGTAATTTTTTCCAGTTCCTCGGCGCTGTTCGGCGCTGTTTTCTGTTTGTGCCTTGCGGGTTTTGTTAGCAGGGCCCCTCAGGGGTGTAGGATCTTCCTGACCCCCTGGGGGTTCTGGAAGCCTCCTGGAGGCCTGGAGAGCCGTCGGAAGGGTGTCTCGGGCTGCGCGGGAGCGTGCTGGGCCGTTCTTTACATTCTGGGGGCTCCTTGGGGTCGTCTTGGGCTGTCCTTGGGCGTCTTGGGGGCCCCCCGGGAAGCCAGGAGGCGCGGTACCGGCCAGATGTCAGGGGATGTGCGGGATCTCCGAGTCGGAGTCCCACTTTGAAAAAAAGAAAGGGTATTCTGGGAATTCCTTTTTTTCCCCAAAAAGTCCTCGATCTTCGAGGGCTGGAAGCGGGAAAACGTCAGAAGGCTAATAATATTAGAAAAACCATTGGAAATCAACAATTTTACCCTCTTTGGGCTCTCTCGGGGAGGCTCTCGCAGCTGTCTTGGGCTGTTCTTGGAGCCTCGTCGGGGTCTGTTTCGGGCCTCTAAGGATCGGGGGTGTGTTGGGGGCCTCTGGGGGGTTCCGGAGGCCTCTCGGAGTCTCTGGAAGCCTCCTGCTCCCGCTCTTGGGTCCATTTTGGGCCTGTTCTGGGGTGGTCTGGGGCTGTCCTGGGCGCCTCTTCGGCAATCTTGGAGCCTTCTTGGCTCGTCTTGGGGCCGTCCTGGGGGTCTCTTCTGTGGTCTCGGGCGGTCTTGGGAGCCTCTTCGGCGCGCTTGGACCATTAGAAGCTCGAGAACGCGAGAAGCCAAAAACACTGAAAAAACATATGGACATCTACGATTTTGGCCTCTTCGGGCCGTCCCGGGGCGCCTCTCGGACCCTTCTTGGGGTCTCTTGGAAGCCACCTGGGAGCCTCGAGAGCCGTCGTATGGCTAACTTGGGCTGCTTGGGAGCGTCTTGGACCATACTTTCGCACTTGGGGGCTCCTGGGAGGCGTCTTGGGCCCTCCTGGGACGCTGTGGAGGCTCCCCGGAAAGGCCTCTTAGGCTCCTGGAGGGCGCTCTTGGGCGGTTTAGGCGTCTCGTGGGCCGTCTTGGCCCCCTCGTGGGCCGTCTTGGAACCCTCTTGGGGGCATCCTCGACCGTCTTGGGTGCCTCTTGGGCCGTCTTGGACGCAGTGGAAGCCCAAAAGGCGAACACGCCAAAAATAGCAGCTTTCCTGTAGGACATTGACGATTTTTGCTTATTTGGGGCTCTATTGGGGTGCCTCTTGGAGCTCATTGGGCGCTTCTTGGAGCCTCTTGGGGTCTCCTGGGGGTCTCTTGGGCCAAAAGGCGCGAATTTCGGGTTCCTCGTCCCCGTCTTGGGCGCCGCCTTTGGGCGTTCTTGGGCGGTTTGGGCGCCTCGTGGGCCGTCTCGGCCCCCTCGTGGGCCGTCTTGGGGCCCTCTTGGGGGCATCCTCGACGGGCTTGGGTGCCTCTTGGGCCGTCTTGGACGCAGTGGAAGCCCAAAAGGCGAACACGCCACAAATATCGGTTTTCCCATAGGGAATGGGCGATTTTTGCTTATTGGGGCTCTCTCGAAGTGCCTCTTGGTGCGTCTTCGGGGCCTTCGGGGGCCTTCTTGGCGTCATGGGACTCGTCTTGAAAGGCATCCGGAGCCATCGGAGCTCGTTTTCGAGCGTTCAGAAGCCATCTTCGGGCGATCTTGGACGGCCCCCGGCGCTCCGGCAGGGCTCCCGGCGCGCCGGGCCCCACATTTGTGGTCGTGGTCCCGGCCCCCGGCCCCTGGACCCGGTCCCCCGTTAGATGTAGATGCTTCACCGCGGAGAGAGTGCATCTGGCTACAGGCCATGGGGCTCGTGCCGAGACGAGCCGCACCCAGCTCGGCCAACGCCAGGCTGGGTCTGCAAAGCGGCGGCAGGACCCGACGCAGCCGAGTGCCGACAGCGGCGACACCGGCCGAAAGGCCCCCCAAAGTGTGTCCGTAGGGCGGGCTGTGTCGCGAGACATTTTCTCACCGTGCATGATCATGGAGCTTGAAATGCGCAACAGCTTCACGGATGCAGGGCAGGCCGTTTTCAAAGTGTGGCTCTGGGCACACCGCCGCGCACATTCGTCTTAAATGTTCGCCACAGCTTCACGAATGGAGGACAAGTCCTTTTCAAAGTGTGGCTCTCGCCTTAAAGCCGCGTGCATTTGTTTTGCAAGTTTGCAGCAGCTTCAAGGATGGCGAGCGGGTGGTTCTCAAAATGTGGCTCTCGCCTTAGCGCCGCGCACATTCGTTCAAAAGCTTGTCACTACGATTTGGTGGAGGGCGGCACCTGTTCAAAGTCTGGCTCTCGCCTTCACGCCGCGCACATTCGTTCTAGAAGTCAGCAGCAGCTTCAAGGGTTAGTATGGTCGTATGGCTAAAATCGGAGAAATCATATCCTGACACGGTTTGGGCTTGTCAGGACGCAACAGTCTCGTTGGCTCGCGGTGTTGAAGTCCCAGGAACGGCGACCTGGCGCGGTTTAGGGCTGTCAGGACGAATCAGTCACGCTGGCTCGCGGTGTCGAAGTCCCAGGGATGGTGTCTGGGTGACTGAAGATTATCAAACAGGTGTCTTCCAACGGGGTACTTCCCGCACTGACAACAAATTCTTGTAGGGACCTGTGAAGAAGGCACTCGGAAGGAGGATTGATTGCAGCTCCGTTGAAGAGTCTTGGGCTTCTAGTGGTACTCCTCCTCCTGCCGTTTCTCTCTCGTCCTCCTTTTTCGTCCTCCTCTTTCTCCTCCTCCTCCTCCTCCTCCTTCTTGCTCCTCCTTTTCCAAATCCTCCCTCGGGACGCCTCTCTTTACCCTGCTCCTCGTTCTCGTCGTCCTCCTCCTCCACATGTTCCTCCTGGTCCTGTTCTTCCTATCCTCCCCCCTCTCCCTCCCCAGTCTGCCAATCCATCTCCTTCCCCCACTCTCCCCAGCCTTCTCCTCCATCCTATCGTCGTCACCCTTATGGGATAAGGGGGGACTGGGGGGGGGGTGAGAGGAGTGTGAGGGGGGGAGGGAGTGAGGAGAGGAAACGGAGGGGGAGGAGAAGCAGTAGCAGGAGGATAGGGATAATGAGCAGCAGGGCAGGGGCATGAACGGGAGGAGCAGGATCGCGAACAGGATGAGGAGCACCAGGAAGAACAGGACGAGGAGCCGAGGGAACACGGGGAACCCGAGGATCGGGAGAGTGAGGACGAGGACGAGGACGAGGAGGAGGAGCAGCAGGACGCACATGGGGGAGGGAGCAGCAGCAGCATCACGAGCAGGAGGAGCTGGGACTGGCGAGGCCTTGGCCCTGGCGCCCACCTCCGCGAGCAGGTCCGGCCGCCCCGCGGCCCTACAAGGGGGGGGGGGGGGGCAGCCGGCTTCGGGGAAGCTGCGGGCACGAAGAGGAACGCCGCCGCGAACGCGAGGGGACGACGACGGAGGAAGACCGAGGAGGAGGAGGAGGAGGAGGAGAACGAGGAGGGCGGGGGAGAGAGGTTAGCGGCATGCCCCCCGCCAAGGCATGAAGCTGCTAGATGAGGAAGCGGACCCCTGAGAGGAACGCCGCCGCGTCCGCCTCGTCTGCTTCATGCTCCTTCTCGCCTTACGTAGCTGCCTCATCCTGCGTCTCCTCCTGGCTTCCCTTACTCCTCCTTGTTCCCGTCTAGCCTCTCCCACGCCACCCTGTCCCTGTGTCACTACTCCGTCTCTTCACACCTCCTCCTCTTCCTCGCGGACCTCGCAGACCTCAGAGCGCCTGTTCAAGCTAGGCTCAAGCGGCACACTACGACAAAAGAGGGGCACCTCACCCGCGCAGGAGGGCCTGCAAGGTGGACCCGCAAGGGCCAGGAAACACCATGCAGGCCCTACCGCGCGGGGAAGTGCCTGAAAATCATTCGGATTCCGATTGACTTCGAGCACCAATCGGAGGGAGAAGAGGCTCATCGTCCTCCTCCTCCTTGACCCTCGCGCGCACGGCGGCGAGGGCATCGGGGCTCGCCTGCAAGCTGCTGCTGGCCGCGGCAGCTGCAGAGCCTGGGCCTCCCTGGGGCGGCGGAGGAAGGGGAGGAGGGGCGGGGGAGGGGAAGAGAGGAAAGGGCAAAGGACGGCCCCAGGGTACAATTGGTCCCAGGTAAACGCCCCCTCAACAAGTTGGCCCGCTCTGAGCTCTTGTGAGGGGGTTCGCATCGTTTCAAAAGCTTATTCGCTTTGACACTGACGAAATGACCACGAGCAACACAATCTATAACTGGGACATCAGTCTCTGCGACCCGAGCCCAATGGAGCTTATGGTGGGGCCCCGCACCCCCCCTCAGGAGCTCCAACGGAATGGGATTGGGCTCGGAGCAGACGCTCGTCGTGTCAGCATTCACCATCCTCAAGCATCTCTTGCAGCGGAACCCCGAGCCGTGCGGCACAGGATTATGAAGAGATTTAGGCTGAGGTGCTTTGACCTGGGACGGGCTCTTAATATTCTTATATTGTTGCTCGAATGGGGGCCGCACAAGCAGAACCGAAATCAAACCTATGGCAAACGACGTGTTCTCATCTTCGCCCTGCATGAAATCGCCTAATTCACCCGGGCTGAGGTCATGTGTCTGAGAACCCCTCTTCGCCCAGGAGTCGGCAGCATTCGATCCAGCAATCGTGGCTCTATCAGCATCTCCCACAGCTGAGCTCATGCTTCGATGAGCCTTGATCTTATTGAGACGGGGCCAGCCTTGCTCAGGACACGCAATTATCTTCCGAGCTAACTCGCGCCAAAAGAAACTCAGACGGCTGGCCCCATCGAGGGCCTCGCTGGGATTCCGCGCCCCCGCAAACAGGCTAGCACAGTCCACATTTACAGGCTCACAAGGCTCTGGGGTGGTGTCGCGGCGCAGGACACTGAGAGCAAGTGCAGCATGCTCTGCATCCGCTGCTTGCTGCGCAAACTCACGGGGGAGCGCAGCCCACACACCACGTCAGCAGACCTCACCTTCCATGTGAACAACAGACACCCCCCCTCTCGCAACCTCCACCTTATCTCCATGGAAGGCGGATCCATCTGTAAATAACTTAACAAACGGTTGAAAGAAGAAGGGGGGACATGAGTCACCGTTTTCATCGAAAAACTGAAGCTTCCAGTCCTCCACAGGACTGGGCAAATCGGGCCACGGGACCCACAGTTTTGAAAGCAGCGAATTGTCGGGCCCTGCAGCAATGGCCTGGTCGACCACCTCCTGACTGAAGTGCTCCTGCCGAACACGTACAGCTTCAGGGTTGCTGCAGGTCCAGCACCGGTGCCAGCTAGTATCTACACGGCCGCGCGAGCACTTGTCCGACACTTCATACCCCCAATGTTTCAAGGAGACCCCAGTCGGAACAGTGCCCGACAAAACTTGGCAGTAGACATGCAGCTGCTGAGGGGTTAAAGATTTCGCAAACCTGAATGAGGGAGAGCCGCAAGCCCCTGGTTTTGATTTCGCAGTCTCCAGGGCTGTCCGAAAAATGTTTGTGGACATATCGCTTAAGCAACTCCTCCCTCAAATCAATAATATAAGCATCTGCAATTTGTGACGGTGGCCTTTCCGTCAAGATCCATTTGAATCCTGACTGGCTTACAAACGTAGCCGGCCGACTTCCAGCCAAAGAAGAAGGGCCGAGATAGGCCCACGGGTCCGATGCAACCACGGCTTCCGCTCAGTAGTCTTCAGAACGGCTACTGCGCTATTGAAGCTTTTACTTAATTCGCCTGGGGTCAGGGCATCACGATGTCGCGAGCGGCCATATTGAGAAGGTTCACTGGCATGCCACCGTTCCCACGCGTAGCGCCTGAGGGCTCCAGCTGCAAGATGCAACGGGTCCCCTTTGTTCCCAGCGCGGGCCCACATGAGGCCCATGTTGCAGCCATTCTTGGATACGCCAGCCATCCGACCAGCAGCTCGACGGAAATGAAGAATCTGAGTAGGTGTTACCCCTTGCACTTCCATGCCATATGAAACTGTAGAAAGTACCCCCGCCTTGAAAAGCCTAGACTTGATCTTCTTGGGTGCCCTGAGGGCGCCTAACTTCGCGAGCCTATGGAAGAACTTCTTAACCCTCTTGAGATTGATGGCCCTGGCCATGGGAACCATACGATGCCTCCCTGCAGTGAAAGGAACCCCGAGGTTGCCAGGGGCCCACGAGCACTTACCTGAAAGAGGCCCTAGAGAATCTGTGAGGTCCTTGAGAAGTCCACTACTGTTGGCCGCCGCGTTCATTTTCTCCTCAGCTATGGGGGCCCTCAAGTTCTGGGAGAAATGATTCGCCAAGGTCGTCGCAAGAGCTTTAAGGTTCGCAATGCATGTAGTTGGACATTCATGCCACGAGTGAAGAGAAAAATCATCAACATGCAGCCCTTGCCCTGTGGAAGGCACATCGCGACCTTGGCATATAGTTGAATACATAAATGTCTGGGCCTCGTAAGTGGCCGAGGTACTGCCAGCAACAATTCCAGATGTCGGGGTCAGCCCTTGAGAGCAGGCCCGATCCAGAAGAAGAAACCTCTGCCAGCGGTAAGTCGATACCGTATAGATTAGAACATGGAACGGAACATCGCACAATAGCCCTTGTTGCACAAGCTCTTGATGTCCAATCTGCTCGTAGAATTGGAGCAAATCCCACAGGGGCGTGGCGTGCGACAAGTTGGTTCCTGTAGCCAACTCTGACCTAACAGACTGCCTCCAGACGGTGTCCACACTGCTACGGCCCTGCCCCATGGAGAACCCAGGTCCCACTCCTGAAGCATCTTCCCAAGATCTGCAGGGTCCTCGGTGAGTCTTGCCATGGAGCCTCTCGAACCCATTGTAGTGGCCTATCGGGCGCCTCCCCTTATCGCCCCCCCCCCCCCCCCCCATCAAGAACACGGCGAGCTGCTGAAGCTGGGGGGGGGGGGGGGGGCACAGTGTCCATGAGGTGATGCAATAATGAAACCACTTCCAAATATTCCAGAAATAAAATCGAGAACTGCCTGGGATGGACACCATTGGGAGCACACGTAAACTTAGCAAACCGAGAACTGATATGCCGAAGCCTTGCTGCAGAAACTGGCGCAGGGACAGTAACATTGATGGCTGGGAGCAGAAGCTGCTGTTGATCACCTCCAACATGCCAGGCCTGACTCCAAATATCAACCTGCTCGCTGAGACGGGCAGGAAGTGCACTAGAGAAACTCCCAGGTACTGGGCTGACCTCGTCCAGCACTGGCTCTCCAGCCCTGAGGTATGAGAAAGCCTGCCTACCTCCATTGCTGACAGCTTCTCCACTCCACTCCATCCAAGCCTCGCGGGCCCGAGATCGATCTTCGCGGTGAGCTGTCTTCAAGAAAACAGCGGCGAAGTCCAGGAGATGGCCCAGCATCCCAATGGCAACTGGTTGTTGTCCCTGAATTCATCTCGTCAGCAGTGGAAGCCAAGAGCGGATGCCAGAAATCGCACCCGGCTTGCCAGAATCGCCTGAACGGCCCTCCAGCTTGCCGAAGCTCACCCCATTGCCGAACGAGACGGTCACGGTACGCCTCCTTTCCCTTGGGGTCCTCATAGAGCCCCCGAAGTTCCTTACACCGAAGGTAGACCAGCTGGATCGCTCGCCCTGGGAACGCACTCGTGGTAGATTTCGTGGCCAAGAAGGTCCTCACGGAGGTCGACTGGAACACCATCGGGGTGCCACCTTGAAGCCCTCGGGCCCTTTTGAACTGGGTGACTATTTTGAGTTCCCCCCAGGCCCTAGACGCCCATGCGGAGTAGACTTCCCCCAGAACTTCAACCCCTTGCCGTCGGAGGTCTCCGTGTGCCATATAGGAGGCCCCATCTGAGTCCTTGAGGGGGTCCAAGAAGCTGTTGAGCCTATCTACGAGGTCCTGGTAGTTGGGAGGAGGAGGTACAGGCAGGACCTATGCCGCGCTCAGCTGGAATATGCTGATAAGTACAAGGAACATGTACTTGAATATCATGGCATTTCTGCTTTACGCTAAGAGTGACAGGTCGATGGGGGCTGTACGGTCCACTGAGATCAGTCAGAACAGTACCACTGATGTGATCTAAAAAATCCGACTGACCACATAGAAATCAACAATAGAACTGCCTTCAGATCCAACATACGCTGCATCAGCAGGAGCACGGATAACCCCACCAACCTTCGACAGAGGAGATCCCGCACTAAACTCGGAAGGAGAAACACTGAAATCGCCAGCAATAACGAATGGTAATCCATGATCAAAGATATCACTCCATACTGCATTCATCACGGATAAATTGACTCCTTTCATGCCGATGGAATCTTTCAGGTACACAGAGTACAAAGCAACCAGGCCAAAGCCACCACTACGCAGAT